TTTTCTTTCATTTATTTCACTCTAAATTACTAATTAATTAATATTTAAAAAGTAATAATTAAATTGGTGCAATAGGTGCATCAGATTTAGGTTCTTCTTTAGCAAATTGCACTAATCTATCTAATTTGGTACTTTATCTTCGGTAAAAACAGTTTATTTCTTTTGATTTTGATATTCTTGATTATATAAAGGAATTTAAAATTAAAAAACTTTTCTAATTTGTTTATTTGTTTTTTATTTGATTTAATTTTCTTTTTCTTTTGATTTTAATTGCGTTTTTTTTTTCTTTTATCGTTCTTAATTTAACTCATTTTTTTATTTTCTACATTTGCTTTTATTAAATTCATTTCCTATTAAAAAAAAATAATTCTTCATTATTACCTTCTAAATAAATAATTAATTAAATATTTTTTCTTATATATTTAAAAAGTTAGAATTAAATTGGTGATTAAGGTTCATCAGGTTTATGTTCTGCTTTAGCAAATTGCACTAATCTTTCTAATTTGGTACTTCATCTTGAGTAAAAACAGCTTATTTGTTTTTGATTGTCATATTTTTCATTATGAAAATAAATTTAAAACAATATAACTCTTAAAATTTGTTGATTAAATATTTATTTGATTTACTTTTCTTTTTTTTTGATTTACGTATTTGTTTTTTTTCTTCTTCTACCTTACTTAATTTAGCTCATTTTTTTATTTTCAACATTTGCTTTTATTAATTCATTTCTTATTATTTCATATTTTTCTTCATTTTTTCCTTCTAAATAACTATTTAATTCAATATTTTTTATTCAATATTTAAAAAGTAGGAATTAAATTGGTGCAGTAGGTACATCAGATCTAGGTTCTGTTTTAGCAAATTGCACTAATCTCTCTAATTTGGTACTTAATCTTGAGTAAAAACAGCTTATTTGTTTTTGATTGTGATGTTTTTCATTATAAAAATGAATTTAAAACAATATAACTCTTAAAATTTGTTTATTAGCTTTTTATATGATTTATTTTCTTTTTTATTATATTTTTATTTTTTTTATTTTTTAATTTTAAATATAATTTTTAATTAAAACAATTTATTCTTACCAATTTTTTTTTAGTAATTTATTTTAATTTTTTATAAAAGTCTAAACAAAAATACAAAATCATAATAATTGAAAGTAAAAAGCAAGTATCTTAAATTGAAAAAATTAGTCTTCTTAAAAATAGATTTCGAGAAATAATGATGGTGAAAAAGGATGAAGAAAGATTAAATATTTGAAAAAATTGAAAATAATATGTTTTATTATATAACATTTTGTAATAACTTAAAATAAAGAAAGTTAGATTTATTTATATATTTATATTGGTAATCCATGTATTGAAATTCCACTGACTGGATAAATACATTATGTCAGCTGAATTACAATAAGTTTTTATTAAAAATTTGGGGGGAGTGGTTATTCAAGTTTACTATCATAATTGAATGAAAATATTTAATTTTTGTCTTGTAGGAGGGTCTATATAAATACCCCTTGTTAAATTAGTGAAACCTTCTTAGAGAGCTTACAGTCTATTTATCGCTGCTAATTTATTTTAGCTCTTCTTCCCAACTAAGGTGAGGTTTTGGTAGGCCAGTCTTCTTTAAAAATACTCCATTTATGGAAATTTCTTATATTTGTATTAACTATTAATTTATAATATTAATAAAGAGCAAGATGCCATTCAAAAAATGATAAGGTTTTGAAAAAAAACAGCATATAATAGACACTTTTTTTAATTATTTTTAATTTACTTTAATGAATAGTAAACGTAAAAAAGGTTTTATATTATTAGGCGCAAAAGTATTTTTAATCAATCTAATTTACAGATGGTTTGTTCAAAAAGTAAGAGCTTAAAACTTAATAATATATAAAATAAATAATTTAAAATGTATTGTTTATTATTGATTTAAAAATATTTAAATTGCTTATTTTTGTTAAGAAAAGTTATTGGAGACGCAGTGAGATTGCTTAATTTAACAATTAAATATTATTAATCAGAAATTAATAAACTTATTGGAGACACGAAATTTGTTTAAAAATAATGGGAGAAAAGATTATTTCAATAATTATTTTTTAATTAAAAAAAGCAAAGATTTAAAAAAAGACTCGGAAATCAATTAAATAAGTAATTAATCAAAAAAGATCATTCAATCTAACAAAATAA